TTTTTTTTTTTTTAAGCAGCAGCGCCCAGTCCCAGGGCTAGAGCCAGAGTCTGAATGCCTGAAGCAAGAGGGCCTGGTTGGCAAACAGGTGTGTGTGGGGGACTGTTTCACTTTGACCACCACCTTCATTCAAGTCTAGCTATTGCCTGGCCAGTGGCGACCAGTGGTTGAGTATCGACCTATGAACCAGGAGGTCACGGTTCAATTCCCCCGTCAGGGCACAGGCCTGGGTTGCGGGCTTGATTCCCGGTAGGGGGCGTTCAGGAGGCAGCCGATCAATGATTCTCTCATTGATGTTGCTCTCTCTCTCTCTCCCTTCCTCTCTGAAATCAATAAAAACATATTAAAAAGAAAAGAACATCTAGCTGTGACTGTCCAGGGAGGCAGCTGAGACGGTGGGGTCTAGGTGGTGGCCAACACAGGTCGTGGCCCACGGTCCATCGGGTGTCAGAGAGCAAAGGCCCCGGGCAGGGCAGTGAGGGCCGAGAGGCTCCCTGCAGAGGCAGGGGAGAGTCAAACACAGGGATGGAAAGAACTAGAAGCCAGAGGGGTGAGGTATAAAAATCTGTATTTATATTACAAAGACAGAATGGTACAGCACAGTCCCTCCCTGTGAGCAGTGGGTGTGACCCTCTCTGTCCAGGGAGGATCTTGTAAGGTGCCCACCTGGCCAGCACCAGGCCTCCTGGGCCGCCCTGGACCCTGGCACAGAACCTGCCCTGGTGCCCTGGATGCGGCCCGGGCTCAGAGTCCTATGTGCACAGAGGTGGGGAGGGGGCCAGGTTTGCTGCCCAGAGAGAGGCAGGGAGCAGGGAGTGGGGAGCCTGCCTCGCCCAGCAGATGGGGACTACCTGGGGCAGACAGGAGGGGCCCTCGGGGCCACGGTTGGGCACAGGGCTCCACCTGCCCAGGAAAGGAGGCTCGGGCACTGGCCTCTTAAACGGAATATGCAGAGGCGGGCCCCAGGCTCGGAGGGAGAGCTGCCGGCAGCCTCCCCAGCCAGCTGGACCTACACTGGGGTGGTGGCCAGGAGTGTGGGGGCCACTGCACAAGCGTGGGGACCCAAACCTGAGGCTGGGGTTCCAGGATTTCAGCCACCCAGTGCCACAGTGGCCCCCATGGGCCTGGGAGGGCACACGGAGAGAGGGTGCAGGCACCCCCAGGGGCCCTGTGCTGGTCACGTTGGCTTTAGAGACCCGACAGGGCTGAGGCGTGCTCTTAGCAATCCATCAGGCCTCAGCAGGGCCCTCTCCGGGCACCATGGCCCCCCACCAAGCCAGCCTGTGCAGATGGCAGGGAGCTGGAGGGAGGGCAATGGATGTGTAACTCCTAGCACCTGGCCTGGCCCTGAGGGCCACCCCTCATGTCTGCGGGTGCGGGCAGCACCCTGGGTGGCCAGCGAGGCCAACCCCCTGGCCCACATGGAAACCACCACGGCCGAGGAGCCATGGGTGGAGCTGCCAGTCGGGTGGGCCGAGGGCCACAGCTTGTCGTGGGGCAGGATGCTGAGGCCAGAGGCGGGAGTAGAGCCTCCACAGGTGTTAGGGGTGGGTGGGGAGCTGATGCTTTAAGAATTCAGGACACAGACCGTCCCCGGGGCCGGACTTGCGGGTGCTCCTGCCCTAACGCACGGTGGACACGCTCAGGCAGACGGGAGAAGCCTCGGGGGGCCCGGTCCAGCTGGAAGGAGATGCCAGCAGGAGAGTTTTCCTATGACCCCAGCCCCGACCCCACGGGCCCACGTGCACCCACCATCCCGAGCCTCGGGGGGCAGGTTCTGTGCCAGACAGACATGTCTCCAGGGACCCCTTTCTGCCTCGGTGAGGCCACCCACGCTGGGTGTCTGCCGGCAGGACTGGAGACAAATGCGGTTGGCAAAGTGGTTACAATGCACCAGAGAGGGAGGAGACATGCGGTGGGTCGGCCCCACCGCCCGCCCCCCGAGTATTGCTGTGTGGTCCCCGGGGACAAGGACTTGGAACGAAAGGCCAGGAGAAGCCTAATGCTCAGGCCTGACCACCCGCGGAGGACGCTGTCTTCATCAGCTGCCAAGGTCAGAATTGGAGCCCTCGCCCCGGGCAGGGGGGCGGGAGGGTTCAAGCTGGGTCCAGGTGAGACCCTAGGTCTCTGGTTAGCAGGCCCTCCCGACTGGAGGCCGAGCTGCACAGCAGGTCCCTGCGAGCCACTGGGAGGGTGACACTGGGCCCGGTCAGCTCCTCCTGCCAAGGCGACAGAAAGAGGCCCTGACAGGCCCTGCAGGCTCTCCCTCCCTGGAGGCGGTGGATGCTGGGAGGGGCTGGGGGTGGGGAGCGGGAGGACACCTGGCCGGCACGTGGGAGGGAGATGCTGGTGGTGGTGGCCGGGGTGGGGCCTGACACAGGACACAAGGCACACTTGGACAGTGGTGACAGACGGACCAGTCCCTGAGACGCCGGCTCCCCCCCTCAGCACACAAGGACGCCACGACTAGGAAAATAGAGTACAAAAATCTGATTCCGGAAATAGAGGCGCGCCGGCAGCACCGCCCGAGTCCTCGGCCGCTTCTCTCCACAAGCCCTGCTCCCCGGAAGCCCCTCCCGGCCGCTCGGGCTGCTGGGCAGGGAGCCGCGTTTATTTCAGGCCCTTCCTTTAGAACAGGGAGACCAGACAGTCCCCTGAGGACCCAGCACACACCTCACTCCTGCCGGGGCAGAAGCCGCCTCCCTGTGCAGACTGAGCTGGGGATGCACAGGGGAGAGGGAGCCAGGCACAGGCCAGGGCCAGTGCTGCCCAGGTGACCTCTGGGTCCCAGGCACCTCCGGGTCTGGTGGCCACGTGTGTGTGCGTGTGCGTGTGTGCATGTGTGCAGGCGGGTGGACGTGACTAGGTGCGTGCATGTGTACACCTGAGGTACCTAACAAAGCGGAAGCTGCCCGGGGGGTGGGGGGTGGCCTGGCCTGCCCCAGGAGCCTAGCCCAGGCTCCTGACACCCTCAGGGTGCAAAGGCCCTTCCCCGCCCCCTGCCCCTGGGTGCTCACCCGCGTCCTGCCTCATGGCTCTCTCTGTCCAGGCTTCAGGAGCCTACGTGGACCGACAGACAGATGGACAGATGAATGGAGAGCCACGCCTTCATTCCTTCCTCAGTCCACTCCTTCCTCCTGGGGCCTGGGGTGGGGTTTGAGCTGCCCACGTGGTCAGTAAGCCCCGCACACGGCGCCCGCCGGGTTTGCAGCAACGACATTTAATACTTCTGGAATGATCAGGAATCGGAGAACAGACCACGGTGGCTACGCTGGGCTCCAGGGCTGGGAGCTGGGCCCGCCTCCCGACGGGGGTCCCTGCCCAGCTGGGAGGGGCGG